TTAGAGTATGTGTCTGTCTCTCTGTCCAATGGAACCACAGACTCTTTGAAGGTAAGAGATTGTTGTCTTTTACGCATAGTAGATGCTCAATAAATATGTACTGAATTAATGTGAATTGAAATAAGGCAATTATCAAGAATTCAGACTATTTTCTAATAACAGTGGTAGGCTACAAATAATTAATTCAGATTTTTCTAATTTGCAAGACTTTCTGATAGTCACAATTAACCCATTCATTCAACGAATCTTTGCCATGTGCCAGACACTTGCAAATGCTAAAGTGCTAAAGATAAATAAGATTCTCCCTATCCTTAAGAAACTCACAGTCTACTGGGTAAAGAAAGACACAAAGAAATTCCTTAATACATGTGTATATGCAACTGTAGGGATGCATGAAAAATTTTATGGGTTCTTAGAACAGCTGGCTCTTTCTAGAAGTGTGTAAAACAAATAGGATAATAACAATGAAGGTATGTTTGACATTTTTTTCTCTGCAGAGTACACATTAGCTCATTCAATCTTTATAAGAAACCTGCAAGTAGACATCACTATCCCAATAAGAAATGAGAAAAATGAGACTCAGAGAAGGCAAAGAACTACCCAAGATTGAACAGATTGCAGGGCGAAGACCTGGACTCAGATCTCCAATCTCCAAATCCTATGACACTCCCCGAACCCCTGTTTTTGTTTTTAACTATTTTGCCCTGCCAGGATTTATACTTAGTTTTCCTTGCAGCGTAGCTGATGGCTATATTTGATGCAAAAACAGGGTAACCAGGTAACCACTCAGAGTAAGCAGGGGAGCTCTGGAAAGACAAGTGGTGGAAGGTATGGCAGGGTCAGCCACTTGTCTGGTCCCACCATGTCACTGTTTCACTGCTTTCTGGCCTTGATTCTCACCTCCTTTTTCCTCCTCAGTCTTATTAGAGTTCATGTTTTAATAAGACTAGGAAAAAGGCTACAGGCAGAAGAGAAAGGTGTCACTTTCTCACCTGAAAGAAGACCTGAGTAGGGAAGAGAAAGCCATGGGGAACGTTCTTTTAGTGTAGTGACTCACAAAATGGCATCTGGGCACTCAAGATTCCCTCTGCCATCTGGTTCAAAACTACCTTTCCAATCTTATTTCCCCTGCTACTATATGGGAAATGCACTTTGCTCTGAGGTTAAGTCATACTATCAGGCCATAAGGTAAATATCATACAGAATCAGTTTTATCCCTGAAAAGCCTTTAAATTTCCCAAAAGCACAGGACATGCTTGCAGCACTCACCACCAGAGGCAGAGAAACCATGACTCACAGTGGATTCCTATCTTTTCTCCCATGCTCACTCCAGGACATACAGTCATTGCGTGTAACAGCCTGCACTCTTCATTTTTCTCTTCCTTCTACTTAGATTATATATGTGATTTAATACATGAATAACGCAACTCCACTGAACATGTTTTTCCCCCACATGTGCTGAGGTGTTCCACTGCCATGCCCTTGCTATTCTGTTTGCTTGATCTGGAATGTCCTTTATATCTTCCTGTGTCCAGATGTGACCTCTTTGGGAGGTCATTCATGACCAACAACTTCTACCTTCCTTCACCCCCAAAAAGTGAGCAGTAATCTGTACTTCTCTCACACTGAATCAGTCCCCTTTTAAGGACCTACGCACTAATCACCATACATCAAGTTCATTATATCATAATGACATGTGACTTTCTAGTAGACTATATACTTCTGGCATCAGAATTCATGCCTGAATCCCCAGAGAATGTCACAGTGTGCCTGGCACATAGTAGGCCCTCATTACTTAATGAATGGATATTTATAAAGTGGTAATTTCATGCCAACTTTCTGTTTGAAGGACTTCTTATTTATTAAACATAATTAACTGTGATCAGCTCACTGGTATCCCATCAGAAGCAAAGCCTTTTTGGAGATGTGGTACCAGCAAAATGCCAACGGTTAGGGTGGATAAACTGGAGACCTAAAAATATTCGAAAACCACTACTGTGGGGAACTTCCTATTTACTGTAGGAAAGGGGAGTGATCTGAAAGAAACCATTTCCTGCCCCGCTTTATCACCTAGTTTTTCATGAGGGGGCACACAGAAAAGAGGAGGAAGAAGAAAAAAGAATTAGGAAAAAAAGAAGAAAAGCAAAACCTATGTTTGTGCAAAGCAGCAGTACTGTCCAGATTCTTAACACTTTTCCTGCGAGCAAGACCAGTTAAACTTCTAAGATCCCATTTACCTCTCCTGAGTTCTTCTCTGTGGTAGGTAATTCTGGGATGAATTTCCTAATGCAAATAGCCCAGCTGATATTCTGCAATCACCTTTTAGGATCAATGGAGGTTATTCAGAAGTCAAGATCCATAAAAGCCCATATTCAAATGAAAATTCATATCCACGACAATACGCATGTTTCCCAGGCATCAACTTTTTTGCCATTTCCTGCTGTTTTCACACATTTCAAACCCCTTTCCAACCAGCAAATCAAAAGAGAGTGCTGTGAGGTCCAGAGAAGAGGGCTTATCTTTGTTGTGGCTTATAACCACAGCGCTTATAACAACCTGCTCTGCACAGTCTGGCAGGAATGAGGGCAGGAACTGGAGCTACCTCACGGGGCTGGCCCAAAGACACCACCTTGGTGAAGCACTTGTCCCATTTTAAGTGCTAAGTAAATGTGGTTTTATTACTTTAATATCATTGTCCTCCTTTGAGCCTCTCTTCCAAGTGCCCAAGGACATATTCACCAAACACACTGCCTTCTAAAGCCGCCACCTGTTTCCTCATGCCACTGAGTTTGATTTTGGACTATCCAGGGGTCCCCAGGGGAAGGGGCAGGCATATGCCTAGTTTGAGGGTGTCTCTGTCACCATCACTCCAAGGGGAAATACAGGTGAATTTGGTGCCTATCCTGAATCCAGTTTGGCTACATTACCGACCTAATTTTCTATAACCATCACTGCTACCCCATGGAATAGATGTGATTATCCCCATTTTGCAGACGGGGAAACTGAAGTTCAGAGAAATGAAACACATTTCTCAATACTTATTAAATACAGGACCCAAGATTAGAATCTGGGGTGGATTCCAAAGTCCATGCTATTTCTGTCATGCCAAACTGCCTCCTTCCCCAGCAAGTCTTTGGCAAATTTTTATTTATGCTTGGATTCTCACCCCTTCCATTTTAGCCTGGAGACATCCTCTGCTTTTATGAAGGACCAGCTCCTGTGATCTCTTCTGAGGAAACCACCCCCATCTGCTGTCTCTGGGCACTTTGAACCCATTCCCATGTCTCCACAATGGCACTCAACACCTTATATCACATGCAGTAGCCTGCATGTCTCTGACACTAGGGATGTGTATTATCATCTCTGAAAACCCAGTGAGATTGCACACAGTGCCTAGGTCAGTGAACATGTATTGATAAACTAGACTCAACACCCATTTCTATAGAGATGTGGCAATGTACTGATTTTATTTACAGAAAGCCAAGGCTGGCCCTAGTTTTTGTTTTTTTGTCTTTTTAAAATGAACTAAACTCCATACTTTCCAGCTTTGAATGTTTACGGTCCTAGGAAGAGCTAAATGGTTTTGAAATTGAGCTGAAGAGCTTCAGTTCAAAGGAAGGCATTAATCAGTTTCATTCCAGTCCTGCTGGAGTCATATGCTTGTGCCTTAAATGTGCTTATTTGCTTCAGGTGTTCCAGGATGCCATTTGAAAATCCTCCAAATGGAATCCATACTCTTTGCAACTGCCTAGGTTTTTGCTAATGTCTGTCTTGGAAATCCCTGGCAGCCCCATCCAAAGAAGTGAGTTTCTCATCCAGGACCAAAGACCAGGAGGAAGTCAGGTTCTAATTGGAATGCTGAGGGAACAAGCTAGGGTCTGATTCCTAACTGTACCTATGCCACTTCCTTTTCTTTGCCTTCATGCAAACTGTCATCATGCAAATGATGAACCAGTCTAACCTCTCATGGCACAAAGACACATCTGACTTTACAAAGACACATCTCACTTTAGTTAATAGGAGATGACCCAAGAAGTGCATGTGAACAATGCTTGGGCAAACCAATGCACACTTCTGATGAAACAGTAAGAAGGGGGGCATCTGTACCAGAGGACACATTTAGTCCTCTAGAAACTTACTATCAGCCAAGAGTCTATCAGATGTGAACTTCAGCCCTCAGCCCACAGCCTAGCCTGTGCTTGTGTCTGACCAATGGGACAGGCCTGGCTAGCCTCTTCTGGAGCCTCCACCCCCACCACTGCCTCCCCTAGCTTTGGTCTGACTAGAAAGGATAGGATCTAACAGGAAACTCGGAAAGTATGAAGGGCAAAGGGAACTGGGCTCCGTCCTCAGGAGCCGCAGGGAGATGTTTTCCTTTTCTTGCCCAACATGCCTTCCCATCGCCCTGCCTTGGGATCTTTTGTCTCCCAAAAGATAGAAAAGGGGAGATGTAGAGAGGGAGAGAGGCATAATATAGAAATTGATTACGTTTTTATGTTTTATGCTCTGGTTCTCAACTTTAAAAAACTGTTGAGTTGAGCCATTTTGGCTTTTTACAAATATCTCATTTTCTCTGTCCTTTGCCAATCAAAGTTATTAAATCAAGTTGTATTTTATATGTCTGTAGTTCTTTTTATTGGATCACTAGCCAACGACTGGGGAGAAGGGACAACTCGTCACCTCTGCCCCCACAGGAATGGGCTGGTTAACGTAATCATCTTTGGAAATCCTTTGTAAAATAACCCTGAAGCAGCTAGTCCAACTGTCAACAGAGCTCCAGTGAAAAGTTAGATTTTTATATGTTGGGTTTGTTGACAATGGTAACCCAATAGTCTAGGAATCCTCTTTCCTAGAAGTTCATGACAAGTCGTAGATGCATGTTTCTTTGTTTAAACTAGGTTAAACTTAGAAGATTTCAGAAAAGTGGCAATTGGGCCAGCATCCCCTTAACAAAGGAAAGGAGAGAACCAAGGATGTGGTTTTGGCAAGGTGGTGCTTACCTGTGATCATGCTCAGTGCTGACAGGCAGGCTAAGGCTTGGATATCAAGGTTCAGGCTCTGCAAATTTAAGGAAAAGTCTTTAATAGAGTCGAGCCACTCCCCAAATCCACGAAGGCACTGAAGTCGATGCAGGACAAGTCCATTGCAGAACACAAATTTATCTTCAGCAGTGTTTGACCTGGAGGGAGAGGACAAGAGACACATTAAACAAGTCTGTCCAGTCTGTCCGGCATGATAACAACATGACACAGAGGTGCCCAGACAGCCATGGGGCAGTGATCGGAACCCAGCATGGTGCTGTGAAGCACACCTAGACACCCACGATGAAAAAGACTATGTTGTTGGGGATAAATAACCAGCACCACTTGTCTGTGCTAATGTCCTTGGTGAGTGTCAGCCCAGGGGAAGATGGGGGTGTGTGACATCTGCTGTCTTTATTGCTAGAATCAGCTGCTGGCTCGCCCTGGGACAGGACACGAAGGAGCAGGCACTCACTGACTGCAGAGGTGAAACCCAGTGCACCGCCTCTCTCTGCAATGAACATGAGATGGTTTTTCAGGGCTCCTGAGTCAGGACTTGCCCTTCATTTTCTTAAATGTCAAAAACTGATAAGGCCTGAGCCTAGACACTACAATTCCATTGTGCAGACTCTAAAAACATAAAGTCCCTGCAAGTGCCAAAAGTCAATCACAAACTAAAATGTGGCCTAATGTAAAACAACTCCTTATTTTGTACTATTTTTTTTTTAAGAAATGGGGTCTCACTATGTTGCCCAGGCTAGCCTTGAGCTCCTGGGCTCAAGAAATCCTTCTCCCTCAGCCTCCTGAGGAGCTGCAATTACAGGCACAAGCCACTGCACCCAGCTCCTTCTCTGCGTTTCACAGCGGAGCTGCAGAGGGCTATTTCGAAATCTGCCCTGATAGTTTATATTGTGTACATCATCATCCCATCATTCACTCATGAAAGGCACCCTGGAACTTCCAGTTGGACATCACCAATTAGTGGTGTGGCATTGGATACTCCTTTAATCTCACTGGACTTCCTTTTCCTTATCTATAAAACAGGAATTCTAATTGCTACCTCCTAAGATTGTACCTCCTAAGATTGAGGGAATTAAATGAAGGATTTGAAAGCCCGTGAATGGTGCCCAGTACACAGGAGGATTCAACACATTATTAGGTGTGACTAGTTCTGAATTCCATATGGTCCTTACTTTAATCTTAGCTTTCCTTTAACTTTCAAATCTTTTGCCACATACTTATCTATCTTGGCCTATTGTATTCACAAGTCAATATCTCTATAACTGTTCTTCTTGGATAAACAGCTTTATTCATTCCTTCATTCAGCAAGTATTCACTGAGCAACAAATAAGTGCCATTCTTGGAGCCAGGCACTGGAGAAAACTTGGTGAACAGGACATATATGTGCTTGCCTGCGTGGAGCATATTGTCTACTTAATCCTTTGCTGCATGCCTAAGAGATGACAGTCATATCGCTGGCTCTTCTCTGGTGTACACCAGATTGGCTACAAATTGAGCTAATTACTGGCACGCTAGTTGTAAGTCCACCCCTGTCTTTCCCACTGATCCCTCCACAGAGGGTACACGCAGGACAGAATGATTTAATCTTTATAACATGGACCCCTGACCACCAGCATCAGAATCACCTAACCAGGAGTGAACAATGCACACTTCTGGACTTCTCCCAAGGTCTAGCAAACCTAAATAGATGGGAATGAGGCATGAGAACCTGCACTTGAAACAGGAGTTTCTGGTAACACAGTATGAAATTGGGGAGGGGGTGGTGGGGAAGAGAAAGAGGGGAAAGATGATGAGTTTTCCTGTAATATTTGGTGAAATGTTAGTACCATCTCCTAAGAATATATAACTGAAAGGAAGCAAGGAAGATGGAATTAAACATGCTATGTGTGAAAACGAAAATAGTGATAAATAAAGTTTCCTTTAAAAGCTACATGTGGAATTTATGACAGGAGCTTAGATCTGAGGTTCTAGCTTTTTGAAAAATCACTTCTTTATATGTTTGGTATCACTGAGTATGATAGGTTGGACCAAATCTTTGGATCCAGGAGCTGTTCTCTTGGAGTAAACACTGGGGGTTAAGAAGCTGTGGGAACTCTGTAGAGTCCCATCAGGTGTGCTAAAATAGTAACTTGTTAAACAGAAACCCTGTTCCAAAGGAAATACTTACTCCCAGGAAATACCTTACACCCTATGAGAATCTTTCTAAAATTATAGAATATTGGAGCTCCAAGAGGCTTCAGAGATCACCAAATATGACCTCCTCATTTCACAAGGAGGGAATTGAGTGTGCAGTGAGGCAAGTGACCTGTCCCCCAGCAAGTCCATATTGGACCTGGGACTAGAACCCAGGGGTCCTGGCTGCCAGGCCAGTGCTCTTTCCCTTACACACTGCTCAGTTTTTTAAATTTCTGATCATATTTCATATTTGCTTCTTGAGCAAACTTTTTGCTGATGATTAAGTTACAAACACAGAAGCTTTCAACCTTCTTCAAAGGAAGGAGTAGGCTGGAGGAAGAAAAAAATAATAGTAATTACCTGATGGAAAGTCTGAGGACAAACAGCTCCAAAAAGGCTGATTCTATAAGTAATGCCTGATCTTCTTTGGGGAGATCAGTGAATCCTGGAATCTTTTCTGCCCAGCTTCTGGATACATCAACGGAATCTGTCAGAAGGTTGTAGAATTGTTGCACATGCTCAGCATCTGTGCCTGTAGTGGCCTGGTCAGTGGGACAGTACTAGAATGCAAACCAGAGAGAGCATCATTATCCCGATTCAGTGGGGATATCATCGTTTGCATATCGGCTCTTCCAAGCCTGTCAATGCCTAAATCCTTACTTTTAGGTCCTACAGTTTAGAAAACACTTTCCCATTCACAATCTCTTCTGATTTTCACAATGGCCCTGTGATACATAGAGCTATAATTGTATCACTTAATAGGCAAAGAAATTTGCTTAAGTCACATTAGTGCAGTGGTTTTCAGCCTTGACTGCGCACTGCAATCATCTGGAGAGTTAAAAAAACACTCTTGTCCAGGTCCTACCGCCAGAGATTCTAATTTAGTTGGTCTGGGGTGGGGCCTCGGCATCAGAAATTTTGAAAGCTTCCTCAGTGATTCCAAAGGGTGGCCCCATTGAGAACTACTGCCCCAAACGTTTGTATCCATATGGGTTTTCAGGGTCTGCTGGTTCCACTGTAGCACAACTGTCTCCCAACAAGGTGCTAAATTAACCCAGTGGTTTTCAAAGTGTGTCTCTCCAGACCAGCAGCATCAGCAACACCCAGGAATGCACTAGAAATGACCATCTCAGGCCCCACCCTAGACCTACTAAATTAAAATATCTAGGGATAGGCCTGCCAAACTTTTATTAAGACCCTCAAGAGATTCTCACACACACTGAAATTTAGGAATCATAGAAATAACCAATAGGAGAAAGAATGATTTTTCTTGCTATCGAAGGATTTCTGTGAGATAAAACCAACCAGGAAGTGGTGAAACTGGAGGGATCCTTAGCAAGCCCAGGAAGCCGTGTGCCACCAGACTCAGGGCTTGTGGTTACTTAAATTAATGAAAACTAAATAGAATTAAAAGTTCAGTTCCTTTGTCACACTAGCCATATCTCAAGTGCTCAATAGCCAAATGTGGGGCAGAACGTTTGCGTCACTGTACAAAGGTCTATTGGACAGCATGGATCCAGTCCCTAGAGGAGAAGGTGCAAGCGGGAAGAAAGTCTCTACCCAGCTTTTGGATATTCTGGTAGAACCAGGGTTTTTTTTTTAATCACTGGAGGAAAAACTTTTCGGCTTCAGGCAGGAAGACTGATACAGCGAGATAATAATCAGGGTACAACAAACAACACGGAGATTTAAGAGATATGCAGAAACCGTCATGTAACTATGCACATCATTTCCTTCACATTAACACAGTGTGTGATTTTGCATCTCTTCTCCCAATAGATCCTCATGGAGCAGGGATTTTATTCCTTATTTTACAAAAGAGAAAACTGAGGCTCCGAGAAGCCAAGAGACTTTTCCAATTTACATAACCAACAGTGGTACAGCCAGGACTTAATCTGTCCCTGAGACTTCAAGCCCTACCCCTCCTGGCTGTGAGCATTTCTGATGTTACCAGTTGGTAGCCTGTGGGATGGTTTTTGCAATCTTTAAAAAGCATTTTGCTTTCCTCTAATAGGCGCTCTCCAGGTATGTATTCATTGGCCCTATGTTTCTGTCAAGAGCACAGTGACTGGCACATAACAGACCCACAATAAATAGGTGTTGAATATTTTTTCAATGAAAGAATAGTCAGGGGAGTGTTTAGGTTTGCCACACTGCCCTAACCTGGTTGGAGGAGAAACAGCCAATAAGCATCTAGGTGTTTATTGTAGAGCTACCTAGGTAAGAGGAAATGAGGCACTTGTTTAATTTGGTCTTTTTTTTATTTTTGTGTTTTCCCAAAAAGCAGTATGCAGTAATTAAACATCAGACAAAGAACCCAACTACTTTAATCCCAGTTTTGTTCTGGCCCTTAATTTGTGAAATACCTGTAGTGTTATTTCACTTTTCTGAACCTCAGTTTTCTCCTCTGTAAAATGGGGATAATAATACCTTCCTCAAAATTTTGTTGTGATGATTAAATCTGATCATACATGTGAAGGGCCTGATATATAGAACAGGTTTAGCAAATGATGACAGTGATGATATTGATAACGGTTAGGATACTTGGAACTATCACCATCTCTCAGCTTCCATATTTACAAAACGGGGAAATGGGTTGAAGCTGAAGGTTTCTACTTTTCAGCCCTGACTTTCAAGGATCCTATAACATCTGGTCTAGTTCAGAGCCCTGGCTCCTGTGTTCCCAATAATCCCACACAGTGCCTAGAATTCTATGAAGCTCTGAATATTCTGTGATGTAATGGATCATGGGAGCAAAGTCCAGCATAAGGAAGCAGCTCTCCTTCCCAAGGCTATTCAAGGATGGTGGCAGGATCCTGTGTTAAAGACACCTCCCACTACCTCCATTCGGCACACACACTCTTAACTGGAGGACAGTCGAGAAAAGGAATTTAATTTTTTTTTTTTTTTAACTTTCTCCAAGGGCAAGATGAAATGCAGGACAGATCTCTCTTCTAAAAGGTGACAGCGCTACATGTGAAACTCCCAAGTGAGTGGTAATATGGAGTAGAGGAATGTGTGTTAGACCAGGCGCAGGCCATGGGGTCCTCGTCCAGGCTGTGGCACTGACTTTCTGTACAGCTCTAGACAAGGCACTTAACCTGGATCTGTTTCTGCCTCTGAAACAGGAATCCAATGTACTCGCTGATCCTTAAGATTCCCTCTGACTCTTGCATTCGATGATTCTAAATGTTGCTAAACCACACCAGGTCTGGTGTTTTTGCCTAGATTTGACACTGATTCAGCATTATTTTGTTTTAAAATAGTGGGTTAAATGGAGAGAATGCTGGGAATGGGATCTAATACTGCTCCCTCCTGCACTGACCTCCCTGAAACCATGGCTCACAACTCAGCAATCTCTCTGCTTCCAACATTTGTTCAGAATCCAGCAGAGCGCATAGATTTCACCCAGGGTCCTCTGCAGGCCTCTGCCCCTGCTGGGCTCACATGTCATGCCTCCTGCACACAGGGAAGTGAAGTCCCTGCCTACCCTGCATGTGTACTTTTCTCTGATGGAGCCCAGCAAGGAGGAAAGCCAGCCAGCCCGGCCTGCCAGGCTCCAGCCAGATCCTCTGGGCTTCACCTGCAGTGATTCTGGTCCAAGTTCCAGAATTCTGGAGCCAAACTGGACTCTGCCTGAGCCACCAGGAACTTGGGGGTGACTGGAGGTTCAGCATCCAATTCAGGAGGAAAAGAAAAATCTCTTCTATTGGACATAGGATTCAACGAAATGGGACACAACATTTTAGATTCTTTCTCTGCCTGGCCTAGCAGTTTAGAAAAAACTCACCCAAGAAATACCGACCTGAAATTGGAAGAACTGGACCCCCAACTCTGCTTCTGTGCTAGCCTACATTGCTAGGTAGGTTTAGGGTTCAACAAAGAAAATCTATAATTTTTTTTATCAGTCATGCCGATCAGACATAGGCCAAATACAGACAGATTTTTAAAATGAACTTTTTTTTTCTGTTCATGCTAATATTTTCAACCTATAGGGACCATTGATCTATCAAAACTCTGGCCTTACCACTAGTGAAAGACACAATATTACATTTACTAACAGCCAATGCCTAATGAAAATTTCTTCTAATTACCTAGAATAAGGATCTAGAGCTGCAAAAAAATAGTAATGGATATTATTTAATCTAAAATGAGTCTACACATCCCTTATGGCAATAACATAGCCATACCAGACAGACTTCAGCAATAGCCCAGGTCTAAAATAAGTTATTTCTATAGGAATTAAGTGAGACCCTTGGAGAACACTGTCCTTAAAAAATTATCGATGTGAGGCTTTAATAGCAGTGTGGAATCTAATATTTACTCTATTTCACTTTGAGCCCTGGCTAAATATGTAAAATATCCCAAGGACATGTTTTTATCCCCATTTTTCTGAGTTTTTATATCTCTAAAAATTATAGATGTGATCATTCTACGAGTCAAACTATGTATACATATTCTTAGGTTCTTACACTTTAAAAAGAGACATTTTAAAAATTGGCGATGTATATATTCCCCCCCAATGTTTTCTTCTCTAACTCTATCCCCCCTAAAAAAAACCCCTCAAACCAGAAAACTCCTCTTCTCCTACCAGTGGCATCACTGCAGATATATATTTGTTCACTTTATTTCTCCTTCACTGGAGTGTAAGCTCCATGAGGACAGGAGCTTTGTCTTGTTCAACAATGTGTCCACTGACCTAGAACACCACCTGAGCACCCAGCAGCCATTAAATATATAGTTGTTAAATGAATTGCTTTCCAGAAAATTTATACGTCATTGCTCATCCCTTCTCAACCCCCAGAAAAGCTGGGAAATGCAAGTTAAAATGGAATTGTTGTTCTTAAACTATGTTGGTGGTTCCCAAACCTTACTGTGGTCTGGGTGTGGCCTGGGAAAGTGCGTTTTAAGCAAACGCCACCATTTCTTTCTGGTAGAGCTAGGTACCATGCTTTGGGAAATGCTGATCTGTACCCATAGTGGAATTACAGTAGGTAAAATGGTTAGAGGGTCAGGGAGTGAGAAGGCTAGAAGGGATCCTGGGAGCGCATTTAGTCCAATCTCTCCACTATTCAGATGAGGAAATTGTGGCCCACAGAGGGGCAGGAATTGGCTTGAAATCATCTAGTGAATTGGTGGTAATCTGGGAAGGTCTTCTGAGAAGTTTCATGAAACCAGTCTTTTTACAGTCTTCATGCAGTTTACTCTGTAGGTCTAACATGTGTTAGTCGCATTATTTCTTAGGCTACCTTGTTAACACATTTAAATGCCAGTTGCTGGTGCCTGGTTTTATCTGGGTAGAATCTCTTGTATTTGCAGTCTGTTACTACACTAAGTGGCTGATTACCACAACACATTCTAGTGTGCCGAAAAATACTTGAAATGACCAACTGATGAGGACATTAAGTATATTTTCTCATTAGTAATTCTGCAGGTTCCAAAGCCAAGCCCAGTATCTATACATACTTGTATTGCTAAATTAAAAGCAACTGTAGGGCAGAGAATAGCAACATTTTGAGGAGAGACAAATCAAACATGACATGTTTTGACTGCACTGATG